GATGGTTACTAGTCCTATTGTTTGTTACTAACCCTGATGGTTACTAGTCCTATTGTTTGTTACTAACCCTGATGGTTACTAGTCCTGTTGTTTGTTACTAACCCTGATGGTTACTAGTCCTGTTGTTTGTTACTACTAGTCCTGTTGTTTGTTACTAACCCTGATGGTTTACTAGTTGTCCTGTTGTTTGTTACTAATCCTGATGGTTACTAGTCCTGTTGTTTGTTACTAACCCTGATGGTTACTAGTCCTGTTGTTTGTTACTAACCCTGATGGTTACTAGTCCTGTTGTTTGTTACTAACCCTGATGGTTACTAGTCCTGTTGTTTAGTTACCTAGCCCTATTGTTTGTTACTAACCCTGATGGTTACTAGTCCTATTGTTTGTTACTAACCCTGATGGTTACTAGTCCTGTTGTTTGTTACTAGTCCCTGATGGTTACTAGTAGTTTACTGTTGTTTGTTACTAACCCTGATGTTGGTTACTAGTCCTGTTGTTTGTTACTAACCCTGATGGTTACTAGTCCTGTTGTTTGTTACTAACCCTGATGGTTACTAGTCCTGTTGTTTGTTACTAACCCTGATGGTTACTAGTCCTGTTGTTTGTTACTAACCCTGATGGTTACTAGTCCTGTTGTTTGTTACTAACCCTGATGGTTACTAGTCCTATTGTTTGTTACTAACCCTGATGGTTACTAGTTTTATTGTTTGTTACTAACCCTGATGGTTACTAGTCCTGTTGTTTGTTACTAACCCTGATGGTTACTAGTCCTATTGTTTGTTACTAACCCTGATGGTTACTAGTCCTGTTGTTTGTTACTAACCCTGATGGTTACTAGTCCTGTTGTTTGTTACTAACCAACTCCTGATGGTTACTAGTCCTGTTTGTTTGTTACTAACCCTGATGGTTACTAGTCCTATTGTTGTTACTAACCCTGTTACTAACTAACCCTGATGGTTACTAGTCCTGTTGGTTACTAGTCCTGTTGGTTACTAGTCCTGTTGGTTTTGTTACTAACCCTGATGGTTGATGGTTACTAGTCCTGTTGTTTGTTACTAACCCTAGTCCTGTTGTTTGTTACTAACCCTGATGGTTACTAGTCCTATTGTTTGTTACTGATGGTTACTAGTCCTGATGGTTACTAGTCCTGTTGTTTGTTACTAACCCTGATGGTTACTAGTCCTGTTGTTTGTTACTAACCCTGATGGTTACTAGTCCTGTTGTTTGTTACTAACCCTGATGGTTACTAGTCCTGTTGTTTGTTACTAACCCTGATGGTTACTAGTCCTGTTGTTTGTTACTAACCCTGATGGTTACTAGTCCTGTTGTTTGTTACTAACCCTGATGGTTACTAGTCCTGTTGTTTGTTACTAACCCTGATGGTTACTAGTCCTGTTGTTTGTTACTAACCCTGATGGTTACTAGTCCTGTTGTTTGTTACTAACCCTGATGGTTACTAGTCCTGTTGTTAGTCCTATTGTTTGTTACTAACCCTGATGGTTACTAGTCCTATTGTTTGTTACTAACCCTGATGGTTACTAGTCCTATTGTTTGTTACTAACCCTGATGGTTTACTAGTCCTGGTTACTTGTTTGTTACTAACCCTAGTCCTGTTGTTTGTTACTAACCCTGATGGTTACTAGTCCTGTTGTTTGTTACTAACCCTGATGGTTACTAGTCCTATTGTTTGTTACTAACCCTGATGGTTACTAGTCCTGTTGTTTGTTACTAACCCTGATGGTTACTAGTCCTGTTGTTTGTTACTAATCCTGTTGTTTGTTGCTAACCCTAATGTTTCTGAATTAATGTTACTTTTGAAAAAACTCAATGTCGACACCAGGTGTCTGAGGAAAGGTGTCAGCATGTCCTTTTCAACCAGTAGTACCGACAACTTCTAATTTGTATTTTTTAAAAATCTCTCTACATTTTTATTGAATTTACAATATAATTTCATCAAATCATATTGGCAAATAACTGAAATGGTCTAAATAGTTTGTCCTTGACCTTCTAAACCAATGTCTGTTGACTTAATCTTTTCCCATCATTCTATTTTCTGCTCTCCTCCAGTCGAAAACACTTCACTTCCTGTGGAATGAGAGTCAGGCCATATCACATCTCCCATCATACTCCAGAAGTGCTCCTATCTATATTATCCCATGGCATCAATAAGTAATATACTTTAATATCTACCACATGTACTTCTTCTTGGTTCCTGTGTACAACTGGCGCTAACTGCCAAATCAGAGGGTCTGGTCATAATTTGTATTCTGCTAGGATGGTTTTAATATTTAACTTTAAAATTTCAAAATTTACATGACATAAATCAATTTAATTTGACGAAGAACAGATGGATAATTAAGGATATTGGTTTAATATCAATAATATAAACCAAGTGTATATAATGGGCAATCTTGCAGATGATAAAAGTCTGAATGAAAACATCATGTGAGACTACACTGATTTTCATTGCATATTTTTTTTAACAAATTAACTTAGGTAACCCATACAGAAATGCCCATAAATCTGTCTGATTATTTTGTTTCAGTTTGTATGAAATAACTGTTGTTTGAAGAGTTAACACATACTTTCAAAGGTTGGTCCGATTTGGGGATTGGTGAGTTGAAACACTTTAGAACACACTCCCTTCATTTCTGTAACCCTTGATATGAAAACAATAATACAGATCCCATTGTCAGTTTACATAATTCCTAAATACCATACATCCACAATAGTTGAACAGTGAGTTGTAAACAATGCACAACATAATCGCCAGTCTAATCTCAGTAATGCCATGGGAACTGTCTTAAATGTGGAATATCTCCAAGCTTAACCCTGAATCATTACCATTCACCCGAGGAAGGAAAGCCCCAGCTTTCAAATTACGATGTACTGGTGCTGAACTGCTTCTCACCAGTACCAAACTGCTTCTTACGACAAACATAATGAGATCCTCGTCTTACTACAGACTACACATCATTAAACAATTAAGTATTGACATATTCCTTACACCTCTTCCACTTAAAGGAGCTTCATCTCAGCCAATATGGCTGGGAATGCTTCATTGACTTCCAACTGTGTCAAAACAGAGACCATATAATATATGGTCTTTGGTCAAAGGCAAACTCTAGTTATCACTGGTATATTTGTTCTAAACATGCAGATTACTACTTGAACATGTTGAAACACAAATGTGAAAACATTAGACCAATTAATGGATAATTCTCCTCCTGTTCAGGAATCTACAGTTGTATTAAACCAGATGGGCCAAAGGATGCAGACCAACAGTGTATTTTGATGTGTTTAATCATAGACTATTCAACAGACCAACAGTGTATTGTGATGTGTTTAATCATAGACTAGTCAACAGACCAACAGTGTATTGTGATGTGTTTAATCATAGACTAGTCAACAGACCAACAGTGTATTGTGATGTGTTTAATCATAGACTAGTCAACAGACCAACAGTGTATTGTGATGTGTTTAATCCTAGACTATTCAACAGACCAACAGTGTATTGTGATGTGTTTAATCCTAGACTAGTCAACAGACCAACAGTGTATTGTGATGTGTTTAATCCTAGTCAACAGACCAACAGTGTATTGTGATGTGTTTAATCCTAGACTAGTCAACAGACCAACAGTGTATTGTGATGTGTTTAATCATAGACTATTCAACAGACCAACAGTGTATTGTGATGTGTTTAATCATAGACTATTCAACAGACCAACAGTGTATTGTGATGTGTTTAATCATAGACTATTCAACAGACCAACAGTTTATTTATGATGTGTTTAATCATAGACTATTCAACAGACCAACAGTGTATTGTGATGTGTGTTTAATCATAGACTATTCAACAGACCAACAGTAAGCTTCCCCCTAGACTAACATCGAGTCTCTGAAACGAACATATTTTACAGAAAAAAACTGTTCATACAAAATAATCATAAAATATAATTAAAATTAGCCCATAGACTTCCTTCATTTTCATTTGACTTGCCACATATTCTAGTCCTGTATGGCCTTTCTTGGATATATTTGTTTCAGGGTCTGTGCGACAGACTACCTTTCCCCCTGAAACAACCAGATATATATACAGCTGAAGTAAACAACTACTTGAAGTCTAATTATGCACATAGAAACCCTTTCAATAATCATATGAAGCCTGCGATAATATTCCAGATTCCACTGTATGATTCAGACTACGTCATAAGCACGTGTTGACTACTGAATCACAACAAAATAGTGATTTTACCAGCAATATATGTTTACAGTATTGAATCACTGTTTTATATGGTGCATGTACATTATCATTATCAACCGGATGTTGTGAGGTTGTCATGGATACCCGACATATTACCATGGGTTTTGGTTAATGTTTACTTCAGAATCTTGGAAACTAATGATACAAAGGTTGGGACAGACCAACTGGGACTTGAACACAACAAGAGAACAGTCTCAAAATGTTAAAATATCATCATATTTCAGTGTCATGATGAAAATGTTCCCATAACATTAAAATCAAGGATGTATCGTCCACACAATCCTCATTAAGTGAATACATTGAGCCTTGTAAAATATACATCTGCGTGTATCCATATACTTTGATGATATTTTAATGGTTCATTTTCAAAACTTCAAGTATCTCAACAGTGAAAACAAAACATCAACTGAAAATAATCTGTCTTGAATATCTGAACATCATTGCTGGAAATGGTCATGGATACTCACTGGCATAAGTTAATGACAAAGTTATAACTCTTTGACAGGCAATCACGATCTTAACTCAAAATGCACACCCCACCAAAAATACAAACACAAACCGGATGTTTTCTTTTGGCTGTCCCTTTTGATTCACAGAATCATGAAAAACATCACAGTACAATAACTCCCAAACATTGTATTAACCTATACACATCCAGAACCAGAGTATGAGCAATGATTACTTCTTGAGGCATTTGAAATGTATCAGTCGTAAGGGGAGACAACTGGGTGCTTACCTGATTGGAAAAGTTGGATCATATTCGAAGTCATTGATTGCCTCTGGATAGCCGATGGCTACCATCTGTTTTTTCAAAAGGTCAAAGCCAAGGGATTCATACTCAGGTGACTTGTACACTGAAAGCATAAGCAACATCAGTATAAGTAACATAGTGAGTGAGTTTAGTTTTACGCCGCACTCAGCAACATTCCAGCCATATGGCGGCGGTCTGTAAATAATCGAGTCTGGACCAGACAATCCAGTGATCAACAGCATGAGCATCGATCTGGGCAATTGGCAACCGATGTCATGTATCAACCAAGACAGCGAGCCTGACCACCAGATCCCGTTAGTCGCCTCTTACGATAAGCATGGGTTACTGAAGATCAATACTCTAACCCAGACCTTCACGGGTCTATATAAGTAACATAAGGGATGTTTATGCATCACTTAACAACGTAAGCAGTGATGAGCACTACCAGCAGTACTTGCAACATTTGATTCACGTATGTAACTAAAGTAACATCACGCTGGCATAGGTAGTAACATAAGCAACATAAACCATGCATTAGTAACAACAGCAACGTTTTGGCAACGTAAGCAACCTATAATTAAAATGATGGATGTGCATGTAACTGAAGTTATGCCCACCACATAAGCAGTAAATTTTCAATATGATCAATTTGTTCGTAAAATCAAAAACAATATATGTATAGCAACAAAGTAATGAATATGAAACAAATATGCAACAAAGTAGTAAATATGAAAACAAATATGCAATAAAGTCTTAGATATGAAAACAAATACGCAACAAAGTAATGAGTATGAAACAAATATGCAACAAATAATAAATATGAAACAAATATGCAAAACAAAGTAGTAAATATGAAAACAAATATGCAACAAAGTAGTAAATATGAAAACAAATATGCAATAAAGTCGTAGATATGAAAACAAATACGCAACAAAGTAATGAGTATGAAACAAATATGCAACAAATAATAAATATGAAACAAATATGCAAAACAAAGTAGTAAATATGAAAACAAATATGCAACAAAGTAGTAAATATGAAAACAAATATGCAACAAAGTAGTAGATATGAAAACAAATACGCAACAAATAATAAATATGAAACACAAATATTAACATATGCCATAAATGAGCAACATAAACAAAAAATATGCAACATAACCTCCGCTATGCAACATAGTAAACAAATTTACAACAAATTCACATAAACACACATTTGTTCAATCAATACATTGACATAACTGTGACAGCGGTCAACAATTGAAAAGTGTTCAAAATGATATTTCACTAGCGAAAATAACATTGTTATTTCCCTCAAATATTGCAACTGCAAGTTTTAGCAAAAGTCCTCTCCTTGTTATCAGTGGGAAATGTACCTAACTGAGTTAAGGAAAACCCCAAGTGTATGTAGAGGATGTTATTATTTGACAAAAATCGGGCCTCGTGATAAGAACCCACTTGATTCAGGTGCCAGTCCATGAGATATCAACAGTGTACAGTCACTGTCATCAGAGGTCCCATAATTAGCTCATTTTCAGTTCAACAGATGGACATTATATTTCAAGGAGGAAGTGTTCTCCAGATAAAACAATCAGAAAGCAAAACCTTTATACTTCAGCCATTTTTAATTGGAATGAAATCTGACTTTTCAGCAAGTTTCCGCTGTACATGGTGTAGCTAAATGTTACACATCTGGGACTATCACCCAATTAGAAAAAGAGTTAGTTTTTTTAATTGAAAGAAAATTGGGGCATCGAGTTACTGAATGACAAAGAATGGTGCTATTTCTGTGAACTTAAGACAAATTGGAGCTTGTGTCACGTGCTGATTGCATTAAAGAGTTGAATAATCAACACTCAAGTTTAAACGTTACAAACAAATTAACTTGATTAGACGTCTGGAATGCTGCATTTTCTCTGCTGTAAAGAATTGAGGGAGTATTTGTTTTAATTAGAACAGCGTGTTTCAACTTGAAAAGTGAATCACAATTAAATATAAGCAAATAAAACAATCCCAGAGATTCAGCATAAGTGCAGTTCCAAGTATATTGTTCCCATACTGAAACGTGTAGCACATAAAGCACAAGATGTGTCTAAATAGGTAAGTGACGTAGTTTGAAATGTGCCTCAGTGAGTGGGTACCCGGAAGGATGAAATGGTCATTTAACTGTTAACATTTCAACACCTTACAAGAAAGTTGTATACTTCCCCGGGAGTTGAGAACAAAACTTAGATTAACATGACTTGAGCAATAATGTAGTGCTTGTAGCATACTTCAGGGTGTGGCTTCAGTGTTATAAATATGCAAATGACTTTTCTTGTGGTACAGGCTGGAGATTGTTTGGCCAGACTGTATGGTTTTGGTGACTGTATGACACTGTACCTGCACATGCTCAGGACAATGATATGAAACATGCATGTACCAGTAGTTATCACTCTGTAAGCTACACAAAACAACATAACAATAAGAGACTGAAATGTAAATTAAATTTTTCTGAGAATTTTCCAAGTTATTTTCATAAAGTTTTCATTGTTAAACTGGCCATTTTATGCATCTTGTGTCATGTGTTGTTCTGACAATGGGAGTATGTTCTGTGTGACAACAATGTGCAATGGTTGATCTTTGATCTAAGGAGAAATCTACGTGGGATCTAGTCAGCCTACACCTCACCTATTTATAATTTATTAAGGGACCAACCATCTGTAACAGACATCTAACACACCTAACTTGTCAATTCCACAAAACACAAGTACAAAATTACATTCATAAAAGATATCCGCTCTAATATTGACAAAGACCAGTGGATTGGTTGAGAGGACTGAGTGAAAGACGTCTAACAGTTAACACTCCACAAGTCAACTCGTCATCCATTGACAAGTTTCTTCAATGATGTGAAGAATTCATTTTGAATTAACAAAGAGTGAAGAATGACAGGTAAATCATGTCAGTCTCTTGACACACCAGCTTGATATTCTCTCTTCAGAAAAAAATAAGATCTAAACTCAGCAGGGGAACCTGCACCACTTGACCATCTGTTCCTTTCTTTTCACATGGCTGCCCACATAAACCTCACCTGGGACCATATCATAACCACTTTTACATTTTTAATTTTCATACATGCTCAAGTATTTGTATTTAATTTTATTGTCAATATATGTCATTAGTCAACTTGTCCAAAGCACCTGTGAGCAGAATAGCTGGAACTTGGCTCCAGATAAATAGATTATAAATATAAATATATAACTAGTTTGACATGACCTTGTGGTCCTTATTCTAAACTGTTTGATTCCACCATCAAACTGGAGATTGTAGAACAATTGCTTACTTTCATGCACAAAAACTTACAAAAAGATAAAATCATATAAAATGTTTCAATATGACCTTGACAGAAAAAAAAGTAAAACGTGAGAAATCACGTAGGTTGTCCTATGTCGGTCAAAGGGTCAGCCATTTTACAGCTTATATAATACAACATGGTTCCTTGGAGTCTGTGAAGATTCATAAGCAGAAATAATGTGAAGAGCGTTTTCAAGTACGTATGCCTTTCACTCATTGAAAAGCTCAAGAAGCTGAAAAGAACTTTTGACATGACCCCTCAGCTTTCACCCTTCTTCTATCATTGGACACCATAACAGAGTAAAAAGTATTTCTTGATAAAATTATCTATTATTGAAAAATCACGCACTTTTATTCAACTGCCAGATCAGCATATTTCAATATGGTATGGTTCATTTATCTTCCTTGCCCACCTTTACAAAGAGTCTAGCTATTCATCCTGCATCAGTATGTTCAATGCGTACTCCTTCCTCACAATGGAGGCAGCTTTCTCGAATTGTACCTAACGTCCTATGCAGAGAAAGCAGCAACTTTTCACACATTTTATATCCCTACACCCAAGTCCCAATCTCATTGATAGCAACCATTCACAGTCCCCCATGATTGAGCAAGGGATGGACGCCAGGCAAATGAATACATAATTCTTATATTGGAACAGCTGCCTGTTTTCAATAGACTTCCGGTATCTAGCTAGGATACTGCAGGACTTCAAGAGCTGTCTAATGAGCCAGCATCATGCCATGGTGCATCCATTTCATAAGCTTCTTCAGAATAGTGTGTTTTGCACAAACACATACTCCTCATCTCCACATTGGAAAAATATGTAGTGACTTGATTAGATGGAGGTGAGAGTGTTTGTTTGGGCCATACAGAATTTTTGACATTATATTTCAATATTAATTTTTAACTCTTGAATGTTAAAGTATAAGCATTAATTTGACAATTTTTAATTAAAGTACATCAAACTATTAAAATATATTTTCCTTTAATTCAAATAAAGTAATTACAGGCAGCTGTACAAAATATTTTAATGCTGATGTGCAGAAACATTACAAAGAGGCTTAAAGGACATCAACTTTTTACTTCTAGTAATCTTGTCAACAGAAATAGTTATCTAATTGTACAAGCAATTTCAAAGCATATGATATTAATTTCAACTTTAAATAGAGAAGTATAAATTAAAAATTATAAAAAATATCGGAATAGTTAAATTTCAAAGCAACATCACTCTCATTGAGAACAAAGATAATCTTAATACTGTGTACAATGCAACGACAACACAGTACAGCTCGACAGGAAACTATTAAAACATCACATTCAGGAAAATACATTATTTTTAAATAGCCAACTGTGTTCAGCCGATGACTGTGAGTTCAGCCGATGCCAGTGTGCAGGAAGCTGGTAGTGTGTCAGTGGACCACAATTGGAGAACTGGACTTTACTGCCATTATCAATTTAAAGGTACAAGCAACATGTTGACATGTGAGATCTATATCAGGCCTCCCTGTACAGAGACAGACACAGCACACAGATTCTAATCTCCACGGCAACAAAAGGTTTGTAGAGTGGGAAGATTTGTTGTCAATTCCAACAATTTTGGGTGAAGAAAGACCTAACCCTCATGAGATTTTCTTAGAACCATGGCTGTTATCTGCTTGAAAGGAACAAGATGTTCCCACAGAAAACTACATGCAGTTGTTGACCTGAACTAGTTTGAGGTGTGGGGCTAGTTCTGGAATATGATTATTTGGGATTGAGAAAGAAATAA